TCCACTGCTCTAATCTTCTTTTTCACCTATATGTTGTGGCCAAGACTATTTACTCTCTGGCTTTTTTTATTTATTTTCCTGTTGTGTTTTTTTTTCTCTCTCTCTTAAAGGCAGAGAAGTTAAGCTCTCAGACTGAGACTAATCTCAGCATATCCTCCAAAAGCACACTGAATTGGAGAATGGATTTTCATGCTTGGCTGTTTCTCCGCCCCTGTGACCACACACACACACACCCCCACACGCTGAAGTGTGTGTGGTAGAAATGGTGTGTGTGTGATATGTGTTTCTGCACCCTCTGGGCTGCCACACACTCGGATAATTACCACAATAAATCTGCATAATTTCATGTGTTCTCATGGCAACATAAAGACCACCCTGAGTGTGAGGAATCGCCCCCATTCAAAACGTCCAAGCTCAACTTTCACTCTGTATCTCTCTCTCTCACTCTCTCTCTCTCTCTTTTGTTCTCTCTCTCTCTCTCCTGATCGCTGTCTCTCATTCTCATCTGCTGTCTCCCCGTCTGTCTTTTCTTTTCTGCTATTTGCCTATCGATCTCTCTCTCCTCCTTTTCTCTCTGTCCTGTCTTTATCTCTCTCTTTCAAAGTCTTTCCATCTCACCCACTTTTTCTTTCTCTCTTTTTCTCTGTCTCTACTTTTTCTTTCGCTTCTGTCTTGAACTCTTTCTCTTTCAATAACTTAGCCTTTCTCCCACTTTCTCTCCTCTCTTCTGCTTCCCCTCTCTCTGTCTCTTTTCTTTCTTTCTCTGCTTCTGTCTCTCTGTCTCTCTGTCTCTCTCTCTCTCTGTCTCTCTCTCTCTCTCTCTGTCTGTCTGTCTGTCTCTCTCTGACCCATGTGTCTGTATGTGTGTGTCTGTGTGTGTGTGTGTTTGTGTGCATGTGTGTGTGTGTGTGTATGTGTATGTGTGTTTGTGTGTGTGTGTGTGTGTGTATGTGTGTGTGTGTGTTTGTGTGCATGTGTGTATGTGTGTGTATGTGTATGTGTGTCTGTGTGTGTGTGTGTGTGCTTGTGTGCATGTGTGTATGTGTGTGTATGTGTATGTGTGTGTGTGTGTGTGTGTGTGTATGTGTGTGTGTGTGTGATTGTGTCGTTGCTGTTGTGAAATGCGAGCGTGCGTAAATCTGCGCTCCTCTGTGGCCTCCTCTTCAAAGAGCACGGCTGTCAAAGCAGCGGGGTCTGAGCCAGACAGGAGACAGCGGAGCCGTTATTGAGCGCGCTGATTGTAGACGCACTCACTGCCAAACGGAATAAAATATCCCGGCTGCTTCCGAAAGCACAGAGTTGTTTGGGTCTGACAAAAGGGGCCTGTCTCTCCATATGATCAGTTTACAGAAGCAGACACATGTGGATTCTCATCACACTCTCCTTCTCTTCAGATCAGACACACACCGAGCATAACGGCTCCTTTCTGTTTACATTTCCGCAGATGAGCAATTCAGATAAACTTTTATTAGGATAAAAACCCTTAAACTCTTCTGATGCTGGAGTGTCTTACTGTAAAATAATAATGTCCTTGTGAATTCAGAGTTGTGTCGTTCTCTACTTCAACATGTAACACATTTCCAACAAAGTCAGAGTAAATAGTGCTGTCATACTAACAGTCACCACCTCCCTGACACTTGGTAACACTTTATGTTTCACTGTGTTGACTTTAGTACCAATTCCTGAATGATACTTCTTTCAATTTCTATTTACTTGCTGAATTTGTCACACTGGAAAAAAAAATAATAAAACGTACAATTTAACATGTGCCATAACTTTCGCACAGCCTACAAATTTGTTTATTTTTTTTAACATTTTAAATTCAGCAAATAAACAATGACTGTTCAGAAAGGTGCTCTCTGGAGAGGATTTGTACTTAAAAGTTTGATCAAGATGGATTATGCATACAAAACATAATTTGATGCCCAAACTTTTCTGTACAACTGTCTATAAAGTGCTGTGCAAAGCTATTAGGTATACAGAAGCAGGCACATGTGGACATATATATACATATCCGTCTGGGTCGCTGGGTCTCCATTTTTGAATAAAATCTCTTTACATTGACTTACATTGAAAGTAAAGAACATTTTTGCTTTCTCCTGTAAAGTTACACTTTTTTTGCTTTGGACAGTGACAATATTTCGCTGCTGTCAGAAGAAAACCTCGTATCTCCATTTTCGTTTTTCAGTTTTTGACATAATTTGAAAATGCATGTTGTCCTTTACGTTTCATGATGAATGGACCAAAAGAAATGACCCAGAATTACTTGTAAAGACTCATCTACTTCCAATGACTTGCATTAAAAGTAAAGTCGGTGTTTTCCTTCTCCTGTAAAGTTACCATGTTGGAGATAGGAGGTTTTCTTCCTACAACAGCGATATATGTGTGTATATATACAGACACACACACACATTCTGTGCATTTTAGTACACGATTTCAGTTTATTTGCTGAGTTTAACATGTTGAAAAAGTAAAAGCATATTATATAAAATGTGCTATAACTTTTTCACAGGCCACATTTCATGTGTTATTTATTCCCTGTATGTTAAATTCAGCAGATAGACAGTAACTCTGTATTAAAATGTGAGGAAGTGTGTTCCCTGTAGAGGAAGTTTATTTCTTCACTTAGAAAATCACAGCTTGTCTATCAACCTGCATTTTTGCATGTCACTTAGCCTATTAGCACCCCTGACTTCATTAATATGCGTTTTAAGGAGTGGCACTGTTGAAGCGCAGTAATAAGACTAAAATGAATATGTAAATTCATAATTCTGCATTTTGATTGATTTACCTGAAATGCCTCCATGGACCTGGAAGAAGTGTGTGTTTGTAAGGCCGGTGAGTTGGAAGCACGATTACTGAGAGAATATTCCAGATTTCTCTTTCAGAATTGTTATTAAAAGCGAGCTTCTGTGTTTGTGTCCTCAGATCTGGTTCATCCGAAGATCTTTAGGTCATTCAAATTACATTGATTTTTTCCCAGTGATTTCCCAAGCTGCTTGGGCCTCACGTCCTCCGTCAGCACTTCCAGTTCTTCTTTCGACATCTTTTAAATGGCAGATGTTAGCAAATCAGAGGCAAAGCTATTTAACCTGTGCTGGTTATATTTTAAGTCTACAGTTTTAAAAAGGTAATTTAACCTGCTACCACTGACGCACCCAGAATTCCATGGTAAACTGGAGAAGCTGCGCTTTTTGAACAATGTTATTGTGTATACACTTAGTAAATATGGCTGACAATATCAGAAAGTGTGGATAGGTGATGTTTCAATAGTCCAAGATGCATCACAGATATGGAAAGCACAGCTGTAAAGGATGAAAGCGAAAATTCAGTTTCAGAAGTGTTCAGATTGAACATACTGGGCCAGATTGATAAAATGCAGCAGAAGATTTACTTCACTGTTAAGAGCAAATAGTGTGGCAGTAACACATTTGCTCATTCATAAACAAGAATAAGTAAGGAGTTTTACTGCTTGCATGGTGTGAGGCATTGCTGCATATTTACTTGATCTAAATACAGCGGTAGGGTTTCATAACACGACACAATCCCACACAAAATAACACCTGAACCACTCTGATGGTAATTTTATGTTTCCAAACATGTCTGGTCACACATGCAGGGAATCAACAAGTTCTGCATGTTCACCCACTCGCCTGATGAACCTATATATTTAAATACACGTTTTGATCTGTTTGGACTGAGCATCATGGGAAACCTTGTCACTGTTTTTGCAGAGGAACATGAGGAGGATTTCAGATTTCCACTAAATTTTGCCACAAGAAATGCAAATTGAGGTTTTATAGGTGAAGACATTATTAACAGATTCCTCTCACACTTTCAGCTGGCACTGTACTTAAAACGGCCTTGTAATGCAAAGACGTTTTGACGAGAGTCTAATTACATGTTCAAATTGATTCAATTTATAAAGGATTTTACAAAAGAAGTTGCAAATGTTAAATTACATTTTTACTAGTGAAAATTTTTACTTGTGTAAACTGATTTTCTGAGAAATAAGCTAATAAACAGACAAATAAATAAAAGCTAAAATGATCCTTAGAATTCCAGCATGTCTATTTAATTGAACTGTGTAGAAAAAGAAAACTTTAATTCATGTCAGTGAAAATTGATAAGGGATTGGGAAAAGTTTGAATTTTTACCAATGAGAAATGAAATCTTACTTGCTAAAATATAATTCCTACAATTAAATGTTTGAGTTGATTTTATTCATGTCATATTTTTCTAGTATCAACAACATTTTCCGAGTAAGAAATTTTGTTTGTTGATTAAAAGTTAATTGGTTTGCTGTGTCTCCGTGCTGGGACTCTTGGTAAAATCTGTGAGCTTTTTCTTTCTCAGAGGTTTGTGCTCCATTTACTATCATGCTTACATTTTCCACAGTTAAAATTTTGCAGCATCTTTACCAAAAATTCACTATCGTTTGCTAACATATCTTTCCTTACAGTTTGTAAGCTCTGTTTCTGAGAGTTTAGTTTTTCCTTGTTTCTTTGTTTCTTTCATCTCATCCATTTGGGCAGCCACCCGGAGCATCACTTGGCATGAGTCTTTAATATGGAAGAGCTCATTTACAAGTAAACTTTGATTTGAACCCATGAAAACACCACAGCGTTAAAAAGACACCAGTGCACTGATCACCACTAAGTTGACTTCATGAATAAGTCTTATTTCTCGTGCCGCATGCTTTGTGTGGCGTATCACTGTTACTGCTGAGTTTTCTGAATCAGGCCCATTGTGTTTTTGCAGTGAGATTCTCTGAGATACAGAAGCCTCTTGCTGAGCTGTTGGGAAGTTGAGAGGTTTCTTGTTTATCTCCCGTTGTGCACTAGCACCTTGTTTCAGAGCCTTTTGCTGCTTGACCGAAAGCGTGAAGCAGCTGCTGATAACAGCTCCTCTGATGTGCGTGCTGTGATGTGTTTGTAGAATTGATAGGTCTGTGTCTGAAGATTTGTTTTCCTAATGTTTTGTGTGTGTGTTTGTTTCAGGATGCGGGAGCGGGACGTGCAAAGTGTATGTGCGTGGCTGCTGCTGCTGACCCTGGCCCTGCTGTCCCTCTGGGGTCGGCTGACCCTGGCCTCGCACCGCACCCACATAGGTAGGACAAAAGTTACTGGCTGTAATGTGACTTCAGATATAACAAAAATCATCTTAGACTGTAACATATCCATTCTAATCCTATGATCTTGCACTTTTTGGCCTTGTTATTGAGTTCATGTGAATATTGATTTTTTAATTGAGATAGATAGATAGATAGATAGATAGATAGATAGATAGATAGATAGATAGATAGATGAAAACACATGAAAACACTGTGGTGCATTTCACATCCAGTAAATAAACTGAGTGAAAATACACTGTGAATGATAACATAGGTTAATAATTGTATTGGATGTAGAAATAAAGTGGCAGTGCGATATGAAATATATATAGATGTACAAAGATATCACATCTGATGTGATAATTTGTCCAGGATAGTATAAGCTGATCGTGAACAGATCAACTGACTGTTTATTCAGTCTAGCAGTGCTTGTGTTAGCTATACTATGTGGACCTCATGAGACAGCATATATTAATCATTTTTATTTTTTGCAGTATTTATGTTATTATTTGTATTTATTCTAATGTTAAACTTTCAAAAAATGTGTTTTTGCTTGCAAAAACTTTCCTTCTGAGATTCAGACATATGCGTAAGTTTGAACACCTCAGTCACCTCAGTCAAATTATGATTTATTGATTTTCTATGCTAACACATCTCTCTGCAGAGGACAGAATTAAATATGCCATTTTCCTGAAAACTTTTATTTATTAGCACATTTTGGGAAAACAATAATTCAGCTACAATATATGATAAAATGTGCCATAACTTTTGCACAGGCCATATTGTATCATTTTTTTTTCTATGTTAAATTCAGCAAAGAAACAGTTATCATTCATTAATTTCCCTGTAGAGAATGTGTAATTATTTCCACTTAGAAAATCAACAAAACAGGTCATTTAATGAGGGTGCCCAAACTTTTGCATACAGCTGTAAATAGTTTGAAATAATTTTGAAATAATAATTTAACTGACTGAAGTGATGTAACTTAATAACTATTCCAGTTACTGAACACAGAAGTTCAATACAGTATCAGTATAGCAAAAATAAATAAATAAATAAATAAACAATAAAACACATCTGTAAAATTAAATTTAATTCCCAGTTAACCAAGAAAAAAATGCTTGTAACCTAAAAAACGCCACTGACCTTCAATCACATCAGCTTTGTTCTGGTAGGTAGACAATGCAGCATAGACATTATAGCGCATATCAACCGAAGGCTAACATGGAATTAATATGGAATTTGAATGTGCATTTTAATGTCTCAAGTGGTTGTAAAGTTATACAGGTTTAAACCCAAATGCTGTGGATGGTCTGAAATGGGTTAAAGTGCCTTTTAAAAGCTGCTGACTCACGCAGGTTTTAGAAGCAAGTTTGCAGTGTGATTGTACAGATAATCAAATTATTATTACAGCATGAAGTGGATTGTCTGTAAAGGAAGACAGGCAACGGTTTATAACTGAATGCATTCATAAACGTTTGTGTAAATGGATTATTTTATTTGGTGATAATGTCTTGTGGTCTTCATCACCCATTACTCTGTCAGTTCTGGGCTTTTTCTGCAGCAGTAACTGTTCCTCTGTTTGTTAATGTCTTACCTATCAAATGCTAAAGGTGACATTTTAACTATGGAGAAATTGCAGCTTTTATTGAATTGGATTTGTGCCTCAGTCTCGTTTTCTCCAGTGTGTGAGTTGCTGAGTGTTTGTAGGTGATGTTTATTTCCCTCATTAGCTGGGTTATAATTTCCATCTGTGTGTTTGCTGTCTGAGTGCTGCTCTCTGAAGTCTGATTTCTGATTGGAGGAGCACTCACTGAACCATAAGAGTAAGCCAATCAGAGTAGAGCAGCGACAAGGAAACAGCTAATCAGATAATTACCTTACAGTTTGGAGCAAGGTAAGAGAGTATCGCCTCAAATTCTTTTTCCATCTCTCTCTCTCTCTCTCTCTCTGTCTCTCTCTCTCTCTCTCTCTCTCTCTCTCTCTCTCTCTCTCAGCGTTATTGGTTTTATTGAGAGGACACGCCCCATAAAGAATGACCTACACTAGTTATGATGTTACAGGTCATGTTGTGTGTGTGTGTGTGTGTGTGTGTGTGTGTGTGTGTGTGTGTGAGAGAGAGAGAGGGAGAGAGAGAGAGAGAGAGAGAGAGAGAGAGAATTTTGAGTGAGGGAGAAGGGGGAATGAAAGACAGAAAAATAAAGTAAGAAAGAACGAAAGAAAGACAATAGGGAGAGAGAAAGAGAAGGAAAAAAACAAAAAGTGGAGAGAGAGAGAGAGGGAAAGAGAAAAAGAACAATAGTGGAGAAAGGGGAGGTGAAAAAGAGAGAGGTTAGAGACAGGATAGAGAGAGAGATGGATTTAGGATAAAGAGAGAGAGAGAGAGAGAGAGAGAGTGAAGGAGGATAGAGACAGGGAAATAGAAAGGCAGGAGAGAGAGGAGAAAGAAAGGGGATGGGAGAGTAACAGAGAGACATAGTGAGACAGAGGGAAGAGGGAGCAGGAGAGATGGGGAGAGGATAGAAAGAATGAGATAGAGAAGAAAGCGAGATGCAGAGAGTAAAGAGATAAAGAGAGAGAGACATGGAGAGAGGATAGAGACATAGTGAGACAGAGGAGAGAGGGAGATGGAGAATGGATAGAGAGGCAGAGAGAAAGGAGAGGGAGAATGAAAAAGTAAACTAAAGTGTACTAAGGCGAGAGAGAGAGAGAAAGAGTGTGTCTAGAGACAAGGAAAGAGAGAGAGGCAGGAGAGAAAAAAAACTAAAGTGTACAGAGGGTGAGTAGAAAGAAGAGAACAACTACTGAAGGGCAAAAAGAAGAAAGGGACATATGAGAGAAATGGAACTGCAGATATAGAGGAAAGAAAGAGAAAGAGAGAGAGAGAGAGAGAGAGAGAGAGAGACAAATGAGGCTGTCATGAATTGTGAACAAGGAAGAGGAACGACTGACTGGATGACTGGAGTCCTGAGCCCCCTGGCCTGCTGTGTGTGTGTGTGTGTATGTTTGATATATGAGGCTCGTCTTTGACGTGTCCCAAATGCACCCATCCAAACACTACATTCACTATATAGCCGGTGTCATACAGTCAATGATGAACAAAGTATGTGTGTGTGTGTGTGTGTGTGTGTGTGTGTGTGTGTGTGTCTACAGGGTCTGGTGGTGGATGATGGTCAGTGTCAGGCCCTAAGCATTTCTCACACCACTGTCCTTGCCTCCGCTGTCCTCCTGCCCTCCACCTCCTCCCTCTCTCTACCTACTGCTCCCTCCTTTATTTATTCAGCCTGAAAGAGAAGAGAGAGAATCTCGCTACCATTAACTACAGATGGCACAATGCCAGTTTTCTTTTACAATACTGATAGTGAAACTTTGAGAATTCCACTGGTACAGATCAGATTAAAACCACCAAGCCTTAAAATGAGCCTGTTTTAATGCACACACTTCATTAATGATGGCCATCTGAAAGTGCTGTGCTCAAACTGCTCAAACAAAACACTTGACTAGCCAGCTCGTCTAGTGCTATGACCTCTGATCCAGCACAAGCTTTTCAGTCATTCCACAGATGTTCAGTATAAAAGATGAAAAAGAAAAAAGGATATTTAATTCTCTGATTCACTGCCTAACATTATTAGCCAATTCTGTTGAAAAGCAATCTGCAGATCATCAATATCTATATCTGTTCTGATCTGGAGGGCAGATAGTACAGCATAAACACAATAACATATCACTGCTGTTGTAACAAATCCTTTTATCTCCATTTTTGTCGTTTTTCAGTTTTTGACAATTTGAAAATGCCTGTTGCTCTTTACACTGTGTGTCAATTTCATGATGAATAGAGCAAAATAAACAACCCAGAATGACTTGGAAAAAACTCCATTGACATTAAAAATATAGTACGTTTTTTTCCTTCTCCTGTAAAGTTACCATTTTGGAGACACAAGGTTTTGTTCAGCAGCAGCGATATAATCAGAAAGCTTAGCTTTTGTACCCACTTAAAAGAGATCATTCTTTAAGGGTCCTTTAGTAAAGCCAGTGATTCTATTTAGAACCATGAGTTCTCTACAGAACCATTTCATGCTTAAATGGTTCTTTGCATGGTGAGATGGTTCTTCACATTGATGGAGAATGTGTTGTATATGGTTTTATATAGAACATTTTGAAAATGGTTCTATATAGCACTAAAAATTGTTCTTCTATTGTTACAAGCTTGAAATTGTGACCATTTTCAAAAAGGTTCTATGAGAAACCATATGCAACAAACTCTATATTAATCTGAAGAACCATTTCACATGCAAAGAATTTCAACACGTCTATATAGAACTCATTTTTCTTTTATTAAGGAACCCTTGAAAAAAACATATATATATATATATATATTATATATATATATATATATATATATTTTAATTTTACCCCATTTTCTCCCCAATTTAGTCATCTCCAATTCCACCCGCTAGTTAGGACTCCCCCAATCACACGATGCTATCAACGCTAGGAGGGTGAAGGCCAACACAGGCTTCCTCCGAGACCTGTGAAGCCAACCACCGCTTCTTTTCGAACTGCCGCTCACGCAACGTCACTGGACAGCCGAACGCGCTCGGAGGAAAGCGCCAACCGCCAGATCTGTTATGTCAGCTAACAGACGCCTGCGCTGACTAGCATCGCGCTGGGTGATGGGGGGAGAAGGAGGGGCCATCCTACCCACCCAGAGAGAGCGAGGCCAATTGTGCTCTCTCGGACTCCCGGCTATGGATGGCTGTAGCATCACCAGGGATCGAACTCGTGATCTCCTGATGATAGGGCCAACGCTTAGACAGTTGCGCCACTCGGGAGCCCCAAAAACATATTTTTTAAGTGTGCAGTTTAACAAGATGACAGGGAAAAAAAAATCCAACCAAACATACAAAAAAAAAAACAAAAAAAAACAAAACAAAACAAAAAACAAACCAGAAATATCACATACCATCCAAATGTGCACAAAATTAGACTGTTTTTAA